AAAGTAAATTTTCGCTTAAATTAGACAAAGAATTTTTTTTTTGAAAACACTTCATGTCTATTTTTTCATTAAAAATAATATATATATATGAAAATAGATTTTGGGGGGTTACAGTTGTATCCCCTGTAGCCATAGTTCTTCCATATAAATGAGATTTTGATTCTTAATAAAACACACACACATATATACAAGGGATGCATCTCTCGCTTTTGTTCTTTCTTCTCTCTAGTTTATAATATATCAAATATTTTTTTCACCCAATTTGTTAAAAACAAAAAAAAGCACTTTACCGACAAAGTTTTCAATCAAAATGATGAAAAAGGCAATTTGCACACAGTATTTAAATGAAAAGACCAAAATTGCTCTTTACAATGGGGAAAAAAACATGTCAAAAGATTAAAAAAATTGCATTTTGGGCCAAAAAAAAAAAAAAAATCTCAACTAAAAAGACATAAAGCCCCTATTTGGTTGTGGCTAAAAATCAAAATCTTGGTAAATTTTTAAAAAATCAATGAAATTTGTAGTTGAAAAGTTGATAAAAGTTGTGGATCCATAAAATATGTTGTTGAAAATGTGTTTGAAGAAAAAAAAAAAAAAAAAAATTAAAGTTGGGATTACATAGGGGCAAAAATGCTCTTTTGGTAAAGAGGCGATGATGATGAACAGTGGTTAGCTTGGAGTAGAATGTGCTAACTAAAAGCCAAAAGGGGCATGTGAACTGCGGTTTAAGAATCTTGAACTCTTTAATCCCCTATGAGCCAAATGGGCTTGGCGGTTATTAACTACCACTTCAATGACCGCTACTGTATTGAAAGGTAAATATCATAGAGATGTTGGTTTTTAGAGGCTAGGCTACCAAATGGAGCTTCATTACTTTTGTGAAGTTTCATATGGGGTAGGGATCTTCTGCATGCTCCACTAAGGTGGCATGTGGGTGATGGGTAAATAGCAATGATCTAAAAAGTGTGCGTAAGCGTCGCCTAGATGCGAGACGAACGTAAAACGATTTGTCTTGACAGTAAGTGGTCAATTGTTATTTGACTTTATTTTTAAGTTTTTAAATGACTTTATTTATATAGAAGTCAAAACAAACTTTATTCAATAAAGATTATGTAATTACAATTTGGAGACTTATCGTTTTGTTGGAAACTTTGAAAGTATATATAAAGTTTCTATACATTTGTTAAGTAGAATTTGTCTAATTGAAAATTGAAATTATGAAAAATAATCTAACTTTTGCATTTTGAAAACTTAAAAATTGTATAATTGATTGATTGTAGGAATTATAAAGTGAATATAATATTATATAATTTTACAGTTGTGTACAGAAAATGGCTGCCAGCATTTCTACAGAATACACTTGGCAGTTTTTTATTTGGAAAATGGCCAAAAAAAAAATTCTAGTAGCAATGCCTCTATACAAGGGGAATTGCAAATAATTTTAGATGTTTGGGATACTAGGTGCAGGAGGTACACTCATTGAATGAGACTTGTACACGGTCTTGGGGATGACTTTAGTTTGGCTTCAAATGACGCAATTTTGTCGCTTTACTTAATGATGTTGGTTATGGATAGTTTACAATGGAAAATAATTCATGGACATTATGGTTTAAAATTTTCTGGTTTACAATGGAAAATAATTCATGGACATTATGGTTTAAAATTTTCTGATTTTGATTGGAAGTATCTCAACTAGAGGTTGAGATTCTTGACCATGATTATTCTTATATGCTAGAATTATAAAATTTATAGGTGCGTGCGATTATAGATCTCTAATGTACATCCTTGCTTTACTTATAGAGAGGCAGTGTGAAAGACTTCATATTTTGGTAACATTAAAAGTTAAAAAAAATTCGATTCTGATTCGAAGTATCCAACCTAGAGTTGAAATTCCAGACCAGGGTTACTCTTAGATGTTAGAATTATAAGATTCGAAAATGTTTTCTATTATGGGGGCGAAGATGTAAATTAGAGTTCATATTTTGATATTAAAAGTTTTATCACTATTCTAAATGGACAGAAATGATCTAATGAGC